GAGCACGAGGGCGAGCAGGATGAGTGGGTGGAGGAGGAGGAGGAGGAGGAGGAGGGGGAGGAGGAGGAGGAGGAGGAGGGGGAGGAGGAGGAGGAGGAGGAGGAGGAGGAGGAGGAGGAGGAGGAGGAGGAGGAGGAGGAGGAGGAGGAGGAGGAGGAGGAGGAGGAGGAGGAGGAGGAGGAGGAGGAGGAGGAGGAGGAGGAGGAGGAGGAGGAGGAGGAGGAGGAGGGGAGGAGGAGGAGGAGGAGGAGGAGGAGGAGGAGGAGGAGGAGGAGGCGGAGGCGGAGGCGGAGGAAGCGGCGGCGGCGGCGGCGGAGGCGGAGGCGGAGGCGGAGGCGGAGGGGAGGGAGGAGGAGGAGGAGGAGGAGGAGGAGGAGGAGGAGGAGGAGGAGGAGAGGAGGAGGAGGAGGAGGAGGAGGAGGGAGGAGAGGAGGAGGAGGAGGGGGAGGAGGAGGAGGAGGAGGAGGAGGAGGAGGAGGAGGAGGAGGAGGAGGAGGAGGAGGAGGAGGAGGAGGAGGAGGAGGCGGAGGAGGAATAATAATAATAATAATAATAATAATAATACTAATCATAATAATAATGATGAAAATAATAATAAGAAGGAGAATAATGAGAAGAAGAAGAATAATAATGATATTAAAAACAATAATAATAAGATTAAGAAGAAGAAGAATACGAAGAAGAAGAATAATAAGAATAATAATAATAAGAAGAATAATAATAAGAATAATAATAATAAGAAGAAGAAGATTAATACTAAGAAGAAGAAGACGGACAAGACGAACACTAACATGAATATTAAGAAGAATAATAAGAGTAATACTAATAATAATACTAATAAGGAGAATAAGATGAATAATAGGAATACTAATAAGAATAAGAAGAAGAAACATAAGACGAATAATGAGACGAATAATCAGAATAATAGTACTACGAAGACGAAGAATAAGCATACTAATAATAAGAAGAATAATAATAATACTAATAATAATACTAATAATACTAATCGTAGTCGTAATAATAATAATACTGATAATACTACTGATACTACTACTACTACTACTACTAATAATAATACTGCTAATAACAATACTAATAATCATACTAATAATAATACTAATAATACTACTAATAATACTAATATTATTATTAATACTAATACTATTAATAATACTAGTAATACTAATAATAATACTAATGGTAATAATATTAATAATACTAATAATCATAATACTAATAATAATAATAATAATACTCATAATAATAATAATACTAGTACTAATAATAATACTACTAATAATAATACTAATGATAATAATAGTAATAATAATAATACTAATAATAATACTACTTATTGTTCATAATAATAATAATAATAATAATAATAATAGTAATAATAATAATAGTCATAATAATAACAATACTAATAATAATAAGAATAAGGAGAAGAAGAGGAGGAGGAGGAGGAGGCGGAGGAGGAAGGGGAGGAGGAGGAGGAGGAGGAGGAGGAAAAGGAGGAGGAGGAGGAAAAGGAGGAGGAGGAAGAGGGGAGGAGGAGGAAGAGGAGGAGGAGGACGAGGGGGAATAGAAGGAGGAGGAAAATGTCGACCAGGACGTCGACGAGGAGGGGGAGGAGGAATAACGTGCGGAGGAGGAACAGGAGGACGACGGGGATGAGATGGGGATGGGGTGCCGGGGATATGAGGGGCACTGTTGAGGGAAAGGAGGAGGGGGAGGGGGAGGAGGGCGAGGAAGAGGAGAAGGAGGATGTGGAGGTGGAGGTGGAAGAGGAGGAGGGGGAGGGGGGGGAGGAGGAGGAGGAGGTGGAGGAGGCGGAGGGGGCGGAGGAGGAGGAGGAGGAGTTTGGTGGAGTGGGGTGGAGTTGAGCCCGTTGCGCAAGCAAGTTCGTTCGTGGCGAAACAGCGTCGGAATCAACCGCATTCGGTCGCCTGATCTTCAGCTCGGCCTGGCTGAAGACCTTCGGTTTCCTGTAAACCGCAGCCTGGTCAAGGAATTTTTCCCGATTCGTATTGATAGCCCCGTGCGCGGTTTGCCTACGAGACAGATTTGCTTCTCGGCAGATGCTTCGCATTCCGTGCAACACCAGGTGTGGAGGAACGCGCGCACATTCACAGTGTGAGATTCGTCTGCCAAGCCCCCTGCCATGCGTATACGATCCCCCACTTTCGGAGAATTTAAAACCTCTCTTGACGTTATGTGGCACAGGGCTCGGTGTGGCCCACCAGTCTCTCACTGGCCTTGGAGGCCGAACTAAAGCAAGCCGGGCATTTCTGCTTAATGTCAGAGAGCGCGTGATTAGACACAAGCGCAGCACCAGAATTGGCCGAAGGCGGAGGAGGAGGAGGGGGAGCAGCAGCAGCAACAGCAGCAGCAACAGGCGGGCCGCACGCTCCCTTCTGTTCCGTGTCATCGGCCTCCGTGGCCGACATGCTACCCAAGGTGGCGCGCCGCAAGTGCATCTTCGCCTTGAACATATGATGCTCTTGCTGTAGCACACGATGCCTGTCAGCTTCAGGTCCCCGTGTTCATTGAGCCGCTGCAGCCGCCAGGCGGTCTGCCACCGCATTCCCAATGCTGAGGGCAGCAGTGCCGATCTCATCGTTCAAGTCCTTGGCCGTCAGGTGCGCGTTGGTGAAGACAACAGCGATCTGCCTTACCTGCCCCTTCGGCTGACTCAAATGGCCTGCGGACCAACCGCCAACCGCGTAGTCGCAGTCCGTGGCATTCGCCGAAGCTCCAGTCGTACGTGTGACCGCTGGCAAGAGTCCCATGAGCTCCCCACGCGCGACCACCTGCCGTGGGCCTGGCAAGGCCCCTGCCGCACACGAATCGGCCTCTGGGTCCTCCAACTGCTGCATCCGAACAATGGCAACTCCAACTCTGCTGAGTCTTGGTGAATGTGTCCCAGGTCCACCGCTGGAGTCGCCGAACACCCAAATGGGTGAATTTTGCGAGCCGTGTCCCATGCAACCTGGGTAAAAGGGGTTCGAAACCTGCGAACCACCACTGCGGCATGTCTGGCGGTGGCACATGCACAAGCTCCTGAGGCAAAATACCACGTGGCCTGTTCTCCTCACATGACTCGACATGTATGATGGTCATGGGCAGCAGCTCGTCGGACATCGAGTACCTTGCTGCCACGGTTGTGGTCACATGTCCATTAGCGGTACGATGGCGTTTCTGCATGTTGGTCGCAACGGCCACACATGACATCCCCAGCATGACGAGCTTGCGAGTCCTTCTTCTGTTGCTTTGTCCACGTCCCCCCCGTCGCAATATTGAGCATGATATCCGACAGCCTAGAGCCATGTTTCTGTTGCGGTAGGTGGTCGAGGATTGCCCGAAACGATTCGTTACAAATACCATTCTCCATCTTTGATCCACAGTAGTGTTGGCCGTGGAGAAGGAGGAGCATGAGGAGAGGAGGAGAAGGAGCGGGAGGAGGAAATGAAGGAGGAGGAGGAGAGGAATGAGAGGGAGGAGAAGCATGCTAATGGTGTTGATGATGATGATGATGATGATGATGATGATGATGATGATGATGATGATGATGATGATGCTGATGCTGATGATGCTGATGATCGTGATGATGATGCTGATGCTGCCGATGATGATGATGACGATGATGATGACGATGATGACGATGATGATGATGATAATGATGGTGATGGTGATGGTGATGGTGGTGGTGATGATGATGACGATGATGATGATGATGATGCTGATGATGATGATGATGATGATGATGATGATGGTGATGGTGGTGACGATGATGATGATGCTGCTGATGCTAATGCTGATGCTAATGCTGGTGCTGATGATGATGCTGATGCTGATGATGATGCTGATGCTGATGCTGATGCTGATGATGATGATGATGATGATGATGATGATGATGATGATGATGATGATGATGATGATGATGATGATTTTGTTGATGGCGAGGAGGAGCAGCAGGAGGAGAAGGAGGAGGGGGATAAGGATTGGGGAGGCGAGGAGGAAGAGAATGGGGGAATGGAGGAGGAGGGGAGGAGGAGGAGCACGAGGAGAACCAGTGTCGACCGAAGACGCGACAACGATGTTGCAATACACCCGCCCCTCCCTTCAAGTTCCCTCTTCATAGGTCCCCAAGAATTTGAATACACTGCGAGAAGTGCCCCGGTGAAAGACAACCGTCTGAGAATCCACAATCGTGTCAACAAAACACATTATTGGGACTTCAACGGGGCGAATCAACGTGCATGTTGCTTCCTGGCAATTCCAAATCGTGCCGGAACACCATTCCTGAGACGTTGACCGCGAACCAACGTGACTGTTGCGTCTTCATCTGCCCACATCGTGCCAGAGCACCATTCTTTGCACGTCAACCCTAATAGTCTTTGACACTCTTGCACATTTTAGTGACGAATGTGCGTGGCGCATTTTGAAAAGAATTACCATCCATCCTTGAAGCTGTTGCACAGTTTCAGGACGAATACGCGTGACGTTAAGTCGACAAGTGCATGCTGCAGACGGCCCGCGCTGCACTTTTATGTTGTTGCGAACCTTTACGGCGAACGCACGCGGCGCTGAGGCGAGAGTTACATTTTGAAAACGGCCGGCCATTCATCCGTGAAACTCTTGCGCACTTACGAAGAATGCGCGCGGCGCTAAGGCGAACTCGTGAATTGGTTGCACATTTCAAGCTTCAGGACCAGAAATGACAAGGAAGGTCCAGGCGAAACGCATGGCCCGCCCAACCGACGCGTCTGGGGGTGCGACAGGGAGGAGTTGTTTGTAAGGAGACCGGATGGAGGAGGACTGTGTAAGGAGGAACAGGAGGAGAACGAGGATGATATTGATGATGAGGAGGAGGAGGAGGAGGGAGGAGGAGGAGTTGGAGGAGGAGGAGGAGGAGGAGGAGGACCTGTACAGGTGTTCGGCTCCGAAGGTCGGGGGCTTCTCCTCCGCGGCCGCAGCCTCGAAGGGCGCCCCGGCAGGTCGTGAGGCGCGGCAGTTGCACGTTCGTGCGGAAGGCGCTCGTCGCGCAGCGGTCGGGCGCCGCTCCCCCGTTCGCCTGCGCGGGGGGGGGAAGGAGGCGAAGGGTGCCGGGGAGGGAGGGAGGATGGAGAGGCCCCCTCTCTCTCTATCTCTTTTCTTTTTTGACGTTGAGCGGACTTTTACAAAGGAGTTGTAGCGCTCATGCGGCAAATGGTAGCAGAAATTAGCCGAAGGACCCCTCCATATGCAGTTGTGAGTGCCACAGTTGTGCGTATCGTCTTTGGTGGAGCTCCCTATGGGCCACGAAACGCTGTACTGGCTGGGGGAGAGGCGCATGCGGACGGTGCCAGTGGCTGGGGCCTTCGGTGGAGCTCCCTACGGGACCATGAAACGCTGTACTGGATTGAGGAGACGCATGCGGAAAGTGCCACTGTGGCCTTCGGTGGAGCTCCCTATGGGGCCACGAAACGCTGTACTGGATGGGGGGAGACGTATGCGAACTTTGCCACTGGGGCCTTCGGTGGAGTCTCCAATGGAGGAGGAGAAGGAAGCGGAGGAGGGGGGAGGAAGAGGGGGGAGAAGGCAAACGCAGCACTGGAGAGGAGTTGGAGGGAGAGGATGAGAACACTCTCCCTCCCGCCTGTAGCCTTACCCTGGTGCGGAGGAGGATGTTCCAGTCAACTTCAGCGTGGGTTCTTCACAAATCAATGCGTCAGGAGCCCGTTCCTGTCGATGAGGTGGTTGTTGGGTCCCAGGTCCTCTTCCATCCCAAAGGCATTGTTTACCACAAAACCGAGGGATTCCGTAAGCTGTGGGCTCCGAGCGAGCTCGACGAGAGGAAGTTTCAGGACGTTTTTTTCCCGAGTTCGGCAAGCAGCGCGTGATGATCCGTTGGATCCATTGTCTGTTGAAGAAATTCGGAGAACGGTGCACACGATGCGACCCAATGCAGGCATGGGGGTAGACGTGCTGTCTCCCACAGATATCGAGCGTCAGCCAGACACTGCGCTGGCCGAGCTTTCTCAACTTTACAGTGTTATTGACGAGTCTCTTGTGTGGCCCTCGCAGCTCGGCCTCACAACTGGACGGATGCTACCCAAGAGATCTTCTGGGGATCGTTTCGTCGGCTTTCTTACGATGGTGGCAAAAATGTAGAGCTTAGCCAGGGAACCGCTTATTAAGTCTTAGGCTGATGAGTCCAAGCCCGAGTGGGAGGCTGCTGTTTCTGGAACTACTGCCCTACGAGAAGCTTCTATGAGAGTGGCCGAGGAGGAGGTTTCAGGAGAGTTAGGAGTACCGTCTGGTCATGGACAGCTGGACATCCAGGGGTATTACGATTCCATGGGATGGTGTCTTCTTATCCCAGCTGCCCTCATATCGGGGTACCCCCAGTAGTTTTATAGTTGAAACGGATGCAGTGCCTCACGCCGCGAGCTCTTTGGTAAGGCCCAGCGCTTGACGAACCCACTCAGCCAACGAGAAGTATGGCACAATGGTTCCGAGCGGGACACGAGGTTTGCAAGGTGCCTTACATATTCTATCCTAGCTCGCATCACCAACGCACATCCAGGCATGGGTTCGCCCGCTGTTCCGGGCCCTGCAGCTGTCTCTTGCCAGTGGCCTGCGCCCAGGGCGTTGATAACTGCGAAATCAAAGCACACTGGTTCTGTCCGGATTGCACGAGATCCGTCCGGAAGCTGCCTGGACAACGCCAGCGCGGGGATGCACAGAATGTCTGCCGGCCTCCGCCTGGTGTCTCGCCCGAGCACCTCCTGCAGCACGCGGGGCGCTTCGCTCAGCGGGCGGAGACCGGCGCGCTCGCAGAAATCAAAGTACACATCTCGCACGCCATAGTGCTGGGCTGTGGCATCTCCTCCAGACATGCACGACAGCGCGTGTAACCCTCCAGAATCCAGCAACTCGCCGCACAACGGGTATGGTACGTTCCCATCCATGACGTCGGCTCCAAGACGAAGGGCGACGGTAGTCGCGAAATCATCTTGCAAAAGGTGCGTGTCAAGCGTCTTTGATGGTACCATGTCCAATTCCTGCCCACCCCCAGGGGCTGAGAATGCGTTGGCGGTCACTATCTCCACGGGCTCGGCGGCCTCCCTCCACGAGCGTGCGTTGAAGGCGTCGATGTCCTCGTTGAGCTTGGTCTGCGTGACCACGACGGCGGCGTCCTCGCTCAGGACGCTCGGGTCCGGCAGCTTCGGGGCCAGCGAGTCGACGGCCGCGCGCAGCAGCGGGTCGCGACCCTGCCCGAACCCCCTGTGTCCTGGGCGGATCCCAACGCAGAGGGCGTGGGTGGCCGACCGGGACGCGACATAAGCAGCGTCCACGCGCTCCGCCACGGTCCTGAGGCCGAGTCCGCCCTGCTTGACCGCGAGGGCGATGCGGGCGCGCTGCCTGGCCGAAAACACTCGCCCGCACACTGCGGACAGGGCGTCAGCGACGTCGCTGTCGAACGTTGTCGCCGCTGGGAGCGTGGAGCTACACGGCGTCGTCCGGATTAGGTAATTCAGGCGGCTGCCGTTGACGCACCATTTGATCAAATAGAACGTGGTGTGCGCGTCGCCGAGGTCGGCCAGAAAATTCAAGACCCGTCGCTGCTTCGTGGCAAACGCCGAGCAGTACTCGCGCGAGAATGCCTCATCTCCGATGGGCGACTTCAGAATTTCGATGTTGCCGTTCAGCACAGGGTCGCAACCTCCAGCCGCAAACCGCGAGAAGTCTTCTGCCGGCTGGTCTCCACCTGCTGCTCTCGCCACCTGCAGCTGCGAGAACCTGAGCCCAACCAACGGCATCATCCTTTTCATGTGCGCCAATGCTCGAAACACTTCGCCTGACGAGCCAGCAATCACGCCATCATCTGCGAAAAGCGGCGCAATGTCCAAGGACACCGGCTCCGCAATGCGCGGTAAGTGCACCGTGGCCCCCGCCAGCGGCTCTACCAGCCCCAAGCTTTCATGGACCATGCGCTTGACCACAGCATGGCACGCCCCTATGAGGGGGCACCCTTGCTGCCCGCCCGCGCGAGACTCGATCGCCCGACCCCGGTAGAAGACGTACGTTGCCACATCTGTTGGGTAGATGTATCCAGCCACTTGCAAATTCCGGGGGCGATGTCTCGCATGCGAGTGAGAAACGTGTGTCGGTCAACCTCGTTGTGGGCATTGCCTTCGTCATAATTGATGAGGAACTTGTCTGGATCATTGGCGTTATCATCCCGCCACTGGCGCACCAAATGCGGCATCACTTCAACGCCGGCCTTGACGCCCACCGCGAGCTGGTGAGGCAACAAATGCGCCCCCAATGACTTCATTTCCGTTCCTAACATGATCTTGCTGACCACTCGTCGCATGGCTTCCCCGGAGCACGCGGGCCGAGCGTCCTCCGACCCGTCTTTGGCTATCTTCCGCAACGCGGTGCCCTCCGCACTCCCGATGAACGCCCGCAGCTCTGGCGGGGCTTGGCCAGAGGCGAGCAAGTTGCCGAAGCTCTGGAAAAGGGCGACGGCCACCCTGTCCCCCGTCTCTCCTATGAGCTGTTTGTACAGGTCTGGCCGCTGCCCCGACGGGCCCGCTGCAACTCTTGCCGAAAAGGACCGGATGGCCTTCACAACGGTCTCGTCTGTGATCTCGTTGGCCGCCGGGGCGGGCATCCTCCAACTTGTGCTCTGGCTCGCGGGGGGCTCGATCAACTTGGAGCGCATGATGCGCTCCGTTGCGACCGTGTCTGGCGCAAGACCCAAACTGCTGGCGTGCCGAATCGCTTTCCCAGGCAGGCCTCTGCCGGCCAGTTGGATCACTTTTTCTTGTCGTCTCGTGGTTGCTTCTTCGTCGGATGGCGCCCGTGCCCGTTTGCGTCGCACGGGTACGTCGGCCTTTGCTAGCTTCAGTGCCTCGTCCCACAATGACCGGCGCTCTCCCTCCGACCACCTAGCAATGCGATTGGCAAGGATATTACCATTACGTTTCTCTTTCGCCTTGCCACCTGGCAGCACGAGCAAAACAGTCTTCGCAAACATGAACCACTCCTGCCAGGCCTCGCGCGCACGAACATGGGCCTCTGTGTCGTGCGCGGTGCCAACGTGGGCCCACGCATCGGGGCGAGAGAACGAGATCACATTGGCCATGCATTTATTGAATCGCTTCGCTCACTCCGCCGGCCCATTTCGCATGACTGAGCCTCTTGGGGCCGCTGGGGGGCCTCGTCAGCGTCGCTTGGGAGCCTCCTGAGGGCCTCGGGGGGGCTTTTAGGGCCTCTCAGGGGCCTCTTGAGGCCTCCTGGGGGCTTCTTAAGGCCGAGGGCTCGAAGTTTTGTTTTGCGTTCTCCCTTTGGGGCATCGCTTGGGGCCCTCTTGGGCCCCTCTTGTGCCGTCTTGGATGCCTCTGTGGCCGTCTTGGAGCCCTCTTGGGCCATCTTGGGGCCTTCTTGGGCGCTTCTTGGGCCCTCTTGGGGCGATCTTGGGGGCCTCTTGGGCCGTCTTGGGGCGTCGGGAAGCCGAAAAGATGGACACGCCAAAATCTACCCAAAACCTAAGGAAAAGTAATGGATTTTGCCCTTTGGGGCCCTCAGGGGAGTGCTCTTGGAGGCCTCTTGGGGCGTCTGGGGGCCATCTTGGGCGTCTTGCGATCGTGTGGCATCTCGGAGCACTCTTGAACCATCTTGGAGGGCTCTTGGCGGCCTCGTGGCCCTTCTTGGGGCTCTCTGGAGGGCCACGGGGGCGGCGCCCAGGAGGAAAACCATCTCTGACCCGAGTCTGCCAGGGATCGCCCGGGGTACTTTTCGTCCGGGGACCCCCAGGGGCCGCCCCGCGCGCGCGAAGTAGAAGTATTATTTAGCAGTTACCGGAGATCTTAGCACGCCTCTGGCCCGTTGGGCCGGCGAATTGAACTCCCGTTCCACGCCGCTGAAAAGCCCAGCACCGATGAACTCCCTTGTTTCGATCCGTGCGCTGCAAACTTCCTCAATCGATGGGAGATCGTTGATAACCGTATCCAGTGCACGTCGGGCAACGTGGGTTTGTGGAGCGAGTTCCTGCGCCAAACAAG